CATCAACATCAGTTCATCAATTATAACAAATATACCACACTAATGTAATGTAAGATGTTAGTAAGAGGAGAAACTGGGGCGGGGGTTGTGAGTAAATGGGAGCTCCAAATTTTCTACTCAATTTTTCTGTAAACCTAAAACTGCTTTAAAAAAATAAAGTCTATTAACTAAAAAAAATTGTTTAGAGGAGGTCATAAAGACTTAGTCATCTAGAAAATTCACCATATGGAACATCCACTTTGCAATGGTGCTACACAAGTAAGACAAGTGTATTGATTATGCCAGTTGGAATTAATTGAAAAAATACACATCTTACCTGCATCGACCTTGAAATTATTGGCATAAGCATAGCCAATACAAAATGTCAGGTTTACAATACGTGATTTTTATGAGAACAAAAATCTGGGGAAAGCCATTCCTTACTAGTGAGGGGTTTGTTGTTCCCACCGGTGGCAAGAAGTGCGTCCGTGACTATAGATCAAAATGAACCACAAAGAAAGTGACGACAACCAACACTCTATAAGTTTATTACCAAATATAACCTAAGCACAAACACAACTAAGCTAATGAGATTGGCAAAGTAGCAGCACAAAATGTAAGGGAAAACACATTTAATAAATACAACTTGGAAACGTCTTTTTCTTTAAATTAGGTTCAGATACTGGGAGACAAACACTGAAGCAAAAGTCTTAACAATGCAGTTACAAGCCATCATAACGTGCAGTGATCCTGCTGGACACTGTCCACTCACAACCATGCTAACGGGGGGCCACTCCCTGCTGCCGTACCATCATATGAATATACATTTGTCAGTGAAAATGTCACAAAAATGTGACATTTGTCCAGGTTTGTGTGTTTTCATAAAGTTACTCAGGTTTTCAGAGAATGAGCATAGGAACATGTAGGATCCACAATTTTTAAGGTCATCACATTAGTTTGTATTTATGAAACTATAAGAAAACAGATGTGTGTCATGTTTGACACTGCTGCTTTGAATGCAATACTTCTAAATAATGAAGCTGACCACAACAAAGAAGGGAAAAGTAATTCAGACATTTCACAGAGGCCTTATTTGGAATATAAACGCTTTGCTAGGGAAAGAAAGACGAAATATTTTAAACAATTTCAAGATTAAAGAGGAAAGTTAATGGGAGGAGGGCAACAGCAGGAGGGAAGGACGTGCTTAAAAGAAACAAATCTGCATAGATGATGAACTGAATTTAATTCAATTCATTCCTGCCTAAAACTAAGCCTGGTTAACTGAGGTAGACTCTGGGAATTACACGTGCAAAGATCAGGTTTTCCAAAGGGCAATATTTTGTCATTTCAGATATGGTAAAGTAAAAGTGCATTTTATAGTTTCAAATAATCAAATGGGAGTCCTTTTATAGGAGGGAAACTTCTCTATACTAATTCCCTATTTTTTTGTGCCAAATTTTCAAATATACAAAAACCTACACACTGCTGGTAATAAAGCAATATCCAGGGTTTTTTCATTTATTTTCTCAGGAAATGAGAAAAGTAAAATAAATTTTATGACATTACCTAAACATCTTTCCTGTTTTTATTAATAAGTCACTGGGAATTCAGAAATAACATTAAAGCTAAAGAGTTGTCTGCAGCCAAAAAACCCAATAAAAATTCAAAGATCTATTTGTTAATGAGGTGAATGTTTAAAAATATACCTACTCTCCTAAGAATTTGATTATTAAAATACACAATTTCCACATTAAGAAACAAATATTAAAAGCAAATGTCAAAAAAATTAAATAAGTACGAAAAGCCAAATTTAAAAGTATAAATAAGTAAACTTACAATAATCACAACAGAGTTTTTAGCTTTCTGTAAAAATAGTTAGTGGAGATGAGACTAAAACATTTGAAGCTTAAATATTTTTATCCCCCTAACATGTACCCCAACTATAATTTCTTTTTTCTATTGTGACATATTCTTAGGTTCACATAAATATTATGTGCATCACAAATTAAGCGTTTTCTTAAAAATATACAATCAAAACAGTTAAAGAAAAAAAAGATACATAAAAGAGAATAGTTAGGACTTTTCCCTCATACGAGTTAAGGTGGCCTTTTCTTGGAAAAGGCCAGCATTCACCCTTAACATTTTATGCCTGTCATACAGAATATACCCTAAAGTGATTTATCATTAATAAGATAAAACTTATCTTAAGAGTGGGAATCCACTATTAGGCAGAGAAAGACTCCATAACCTAGGCAATATTGAAGGAACCAAAGTCCACTCACACAACATGAAATACTTGCCTAGGTCCTTCATTTTATCTCATGTTAGCGTGGGGAGAAAGTGAATCGTAGCTACCTCAGCGGGTTACTGTTTTATGGTTCTCATCACAGATTTAGCAGTGTATATAAAAACTTATTCCTAAGGAAGGAATTCAAATGAACTCAGGCTATCCAAAACTTAGAGTACTAACAATTTTATGTTCAACAGAGTCAGGCTACATAAAGCAAAGTCAAATAATGACAATCATACTGTAAATTTGGGTTGTACACACACATTTTCCCCTGGTGTATGTGTATGACCATAGATCACCAGGTACTGGTTTGCTTACTTTTTGAGCAATTCGTGCTCTAAGCCTACGTTTTGAGAGTGAAATATGACTTCCCAAAAACTGTGATCTCAGAAGCTGAAATTAAGCCCCAAGCTATAGAGCTAGACCACCACGTTTTCCCCTTCCAAAATGGCTCGGTATTGTGGGAGGTAGTGGTCAGATCTGAAAGTGTGTAGATACAGTCTGTGATGCCACCATCTATTGTCTACTTGGATCACTAGAAGGTTGCAGCTTCCATTAAAGAGGTGTTTGATATATTTCACTAATATTAATTTCCTTTAAAAAAAGAAATTATGGGGCAAAAGGTTTAAACATGTTATGCTTATAATAGGCAGCTTGGGAAATGGTAAAAATTGTTCATTAAAATAGATCCATAATAGTTACACACTATTCAAACAAATGGGTATCAGTTCTAATTTCAAAACAGATTTAAAGTGCTAAAAGGAGGGGGAAAAAACTTTTATATATTATTTTTCCAAAGTGCAAACAGATTACTATGCCTCTCCATCAGTGATCTTGTTTCAGTAGTAGAAGCCAGAAGCTATATAGAGCCATTAGAGAAACTGCCAAGTTGGAACTGTACTCCCTAGTCCAGCTTTGTCTTGGTCCACAGAGCTCCCACCCACTGTGTCTTGGACCAACCAGTACACATCTACAGAATGTAGGGACTATCTGATCAGATATCTGCAAAGCAGACTTAGCTTAGTCCTACAGTCATTGTGCTGCAGAACTCAAAATACTCATGTTTTCAGAGGAATTAAAGGAGCCAAATATTTTTCCTTTGATAATGCATCTGCTACCGCAACACAGAATAACAAAACAAAACAAAGCAAAACAATTCAATCTCATTCTGGGTAAGGCAACACACTGTCTTCTGCAATAAAGACAGTCTGTGTGTGTGTGTGTGTGTGTGTGTGTGTATGTGTGATGTACATTAAAAGGGCTGGGCAGAGTGGCTCACACCTGTAATCCAAGCACTCATTCTGGGTAAGGCAAAAACTGTGATCTCAGAAGCTGAAATTAAGCCCCAAGCTATAGAGCTAGACCACCACGTTTTCCCCTTCCAAAATGGCTCGGTATTGTGGGAGGTAGTGGTCAGATCTGAAAGTGTGTAGATACAGTCTGTGATGCCACCATCTATTGTCTACTTGGATCACTAGAAGGTTGCAGCTTCCATTAAAGAGGTGTTTGATATATTTCACTAATATTAATTTCCTTTAAAAAAAGAAATTATGGGGCAAAAGGTTTAAACATGTTATGCTTATAATAGGCAGCTTGGGAAATGGTAAAAATTGTTCATTAAAATAGATCCATAATAGTTACACACTATTCAAACAAATGGGTATCAGTTCTAATTTCAAAACAGATTTAAAGTGCTAAAAGGAGGGGGAAAAAACTTTTATATATTATTTTTCCAAAGTGCAAACAGATTACTATGCCTCTCCATCAGTGATCTTGTTTCAGTAGTAGAAGCCAGAAGCTATATAGAGCCATTAGAGAAACTGCCAAGTTGGAACTGTACTCCCTAGTCCAGCTTTGTCTTGGTCCACAGAGCTCCCACCCACTGTGTCTTGGACCAACCAGTACACATCTACAGAATGTAGGGACTATCTGATCAGATATCTGCAAAGCAGACTTAGCTTAGTCCTACAGTCATTGTGCTGCAGAACTCAAAATACTCATGTTTTCAGAGGAATTAAAGGAGCCAAATATTTTTCCTTTGATAATGCATCTGCTACCGCAACACAGAATAACAAAACAAAACAAAGCAAAACAATTCAATCTCATTCTGGGTAAGGCAACACACTGTCTTCTGCAATAAAGACAGTCTGTGTGTGTGTGTGTGTGTGTGTGTGTATGTGTGATGTACATTAAAAGGGCTGGGCAGAGTGGCTCACACCTGTAATCCAAGCACTCATTCTGGGTAAGGCAATGCACTGTCTTCTGCAATAAAGACTGTGTGTGTGTGTGTGTGTGTGTGTATGTATGTCTGTCTCACGCCCGTAATCCTAAAACTCATTCTGGGTAAGGCAACACACTGTCTTCTGAAATAGAGAGAGAGAGAGAGAGAGAGAGTGTGTGTGTGTGTGTGTGTGTGTGTTGTACATTAAAAGTTGGGGCCAGGAGCAGTGGCTCACGCCTGTAATCCCAGCACTTTGGGAGGCCGATGTGGGTGGATCACCTGAGGTCAGGAGTGCGAGACTAGCCTGGCCAACATGGTGAAACTCTGTCTCTACTAAAAGTACAAAAAAATAAGCCGGGCGTGGTGGCACCTGTAATCCCAGCTACTCAGGAGGCCGAGGCAGGAGAATGGATTGAACCTGGGAGGCAGAGGTTGCAGTGAGCCGAGATCACGTCACTGCACTCTAGCCTGGGGGACAGAGCAAGACTCCGTCTCAAAATAAAATAAAATAAAAATAAAATAAAATAAAATAAAATAGAATAAAATAATTAAAATCAAATAAAATAAAAGTTAAATAGAACACCTGAGGGATGTCTTTAAGATCCTTTAAGGGATTTGAGACATACAAAGCATTTACCATCCACTGATAGGGCAAAATGAGAAACAAGGGAAATACAAAGCACAGCTGACTCACTTAACATGGTCAAGATAAGCTCCTAGGAAGTCTGAGTTGCCAAATACTGAATAACTGGTATTAAAAGAAACACAATTACTATGTCATTATCCATGAATTCAGAAAAATAATTAAATGCACACCAAGATAATTAATACGAAACCCAGAAAAGGTCTCACTAATCAACTATTGTTAGGCTGATGCAAAAGTAATTGCGGTTTTTGCCATTGAAAGTAATGGAAAAACCACAATTACTTTTGCACCAGTCCAATACAAACAAGTTTTAACAATCACAAGACTAATGTTTTAGTGATGGCTCCTACAACTTCAGGGGAAAAAAAGTACACTTCTGAATGGCAATCGTTTGCAAAATAATCTCAATGAAACTACTTATTTCTTTATTTTAAAAGTTAATAAAAGGAAACTTCTCTCAGTTTTTAGGAAGAATTCAATTACAATAAAATCATGATGTCTTATGATCTGTCATCTTATAATCTGTGTCTCAGAAAGAAGGGCAATTTACAGCATCAGATGAATACTGGAGTTTAGAGTCAGACTTAAGTTATCTGAAAAGAACATAAGGCATTTATAGTTTTTAGCAGGGAAAAATAATCAATCTCTTTTTTAAAAAAAAAACCTTCTTAGTATCTTGATTAAGTGTCCAAAAAGCTGTATTATTTTTAGTTTTAAACCAGTAGGTGCTATTCAAAACTGAGAATTCAGGATGTTATCAAATACAGAGTTTTAAAAGCTTGACCATTAAAGCATAAACTGCCTAATAAGACACATGTAATCATAAAAACTAACGCCAGGATCATTTACTTGTGATTGGATATATGCCATTCACTTTTTCTGGCTTCTTTCTAAGGTGTAATTCCTGCTGTATTGAGTGAGCATGTCAGATTTCTATCCTTATCTTACTGTGTGTAAAAGTTCTCAACCTAGACAAGGACAAATTTTAGAATTTTCAAATGAACATCATTCGTTACGTACAATGCTGTTTTGTTAAACTAGCTGTCTGGAATACTATAAAGATTTCATTTGTTTTGTGTTAGCCACAGAGAATGGACTTGTTTAGAACGCAAAAGTATTTATCTCAAATACTAAAATCAAATTCAACAAAAATCAAACAATGTTGGAGCTGAGAAAAATAATGGCTATACATCTGTTTGAACATATTGAAAGAAAAGTGAAAACACAGCCAGGCATGCTGGTGCGCACCTACAATCCCAGCAACTTGGGAGGCTGAGACAGGAGAATTGCTTGAATCTAGGAGGCGGAGGTTGCAGTGAGCCAAGATCATGCCACTGCACCACACAGCCCGGGTGACAGAGTAAGACTCCTTCACACACACAAGAAAAGTGAAAACAAACTTGGAAGTCTAGAATGAAGAATTACATCTAATGCAATATTCTTCCCACCTTTCCATATTAAGTATAAGAAGCACCAGCAAAAAAATACTAAAGACAGAGAAATGACCTGGCAAAATGATTCAAATACCACAGAGCGTGAGAATATTCCTCAATAAAGCTCAAGACGTTATTAAGTAGCTAGTAGAATAAATGGCAGCGGGAGGGGAAGTAAAAATTCTAACCATATGACAGACTCCTAACAGTAAGTCATAAATTCTAAAGGTTTAATCAGTAAATTATTTCCTCCAAAATATACTGTCATTCTTCTCTTAACAATAAATACAGAGTGTGACACAAATCCAATTTTGATGTTAAAAGTCAACCTGTATAGATAGGTCCCTCATGTTGACAGAGCAAAGAAGTGGAAAAAAACAAAAACAAAAACAAAAACAAAGAAAAACAACTGCAAATGAGAAATAGGGGTATTTCTAAATCTTCTGTAAACAAGTTTCTAAAATAGCACACTGCTCCCTCTCTACAGCCTCCCTGATAGACTGGTTTGGGTGTGCAATATTAATGCAGGAATACGTGGAATACCAGTACAGAGCCAGGGAAGGGAGACTAGCAAACTCTCGCCCTGAATTATTTCTCAACTACATTTAGTATTCTTCACAGTTTTAGATGTTTTTTTTCCTTTAAGTGAAAATCACTCCACTGAAAAAAATTCCAAATCTGTTTTTTAAAAATTGCAGGAATTTCTTCATATTTTATAAACAAAAATACCAGAAATTAAAGAGTTGACAGAAATTCAAGCAGATCCAAATTCAACCATCCATTTTTCATACTTCTCCAAGTCTGCAGCAGAGACAGACTTAGCAATTTTCTTTAGGGCCAATTCAAAGTCTCCTTTGGTAACAGGCATCTGAAGTTCCTCTTTAGAAAGTGCACGGATCTCTTCTGGACCTAAGCCATTGATACGCCGTCTCATTGCCATTAAAGAGGCATCCCTAAAAATACACCACAATCAGTCAACAGTAATTTTTGCACATGTTTTAAACACTTTCAATTGTAACAAAGTTATGAAAAAACAATCAAAAGATTATATGTTTTCTATGAGGCTTCTTAGAATTTTCCACTTAAGAAACATCCTGGGGGTTCGGCAGAAGTTAAAACAGGATGCAAATAACCAGAAACATGAAATGTACAGTTAATGAACCCTAAAAGTCTAAGTTAAGCTCAAACAGTACTGAATTATATTTTCCCACTTGCTCCTCAAAGACAGCCAAGAAGTTTAAGAAACCAAAGTCGAATTTTGAAATACTGAATTGTACACTTGGAAATGAACACGTGGCTAATGTTAAGATAATTCAAATCACAGACCAGTTTGTCTACAGCCTAAATAGAGGAATAAAGCCACAAATCACTCTCTCTGAAACATGAATATCTACATACAGTGGACACGGAATTCCCTACATGGAGTATTTGCAGGCAACTAAAGGCATAAACTCTGGCTTCTCTTGATCCCATGTGCAGCTCTTTTTGACCAACATAAATATGACCAACATAAATATGACCATCATGTGCAGCTCTTTTTGACCAACATAAATATGACCATCATAAATATGAAGGTATGGAAGAAAAGGATAATTCATAAACACAAAAAAGCTATTAGGAAGGCCAAGCCAACAAAAATGTCAAGTTCTTAAATATTTCACTATAGTAGCAGTAGAAACTATTGTGACTTTATTGTATGCCACTAAACTTGGATGCACATGGGAAAAATGCGAGCAGAAAAGGTGAGAAAAACAGATGCTACAGCTTTAAAGAAAGGCTACTAAAGTCAATTTAAGTACAGTTAGAAAAATAAGGAAAAAAATAACTGCACAGAGTGACAGGAGGTGTCTAAAACATTATGATGTCGCTAAACTGAAAAAATGTTAATGTGTATCTTCCCCAGCTTACACTGATCATTTTTTGCTCATCGGCATGTGTTTAAATAATGCCAACCAAAACTAAATAATATAACTTTATGTTGATGTAGAAAGGCTCCAACACAAAGCTAAACTAATCTTAGTTGTTTCAAAGTCGTTTTCATCAAGTTAGACACAAACAGTTTTTTTTTTTTTTTTGCGACGGAGTCTCGCTGTCTCCAGGCTGGAGTGCCGTGGCACCATCGCCAGCTTCGCTACAAGCTCCGCCTCCCGGGTTCACGCCATTCTCCTGCCTCAGCCTCCCGAGTAGCTGGGACTACAGGCGCCCGCCACCACGCCCAGCTAATATTTTGTATTTTTAGTAGAGACGGGATTCACTGTGTTAGCCAAGATAGTCTCGACCTCCTGACCTCGTGATCTGCCTGCCTCAGTCTCCCAAAGTGCTGGGCTTACAAGCACGAGCCACCGACACAACAATTTCTTAAAAATCCAAAGATCAAAAACATCAGTGACCAATGCTATATAATTTTCATCTCACAATGAAGAATAAAGTTATATGGAAAAAAAAAAGGACAAATGGGAAACCATTTCAAAGAAACGGGTAGCTGCTTTCATGTCTAACTACACTGGGCTAACTACACTGACTTTAAGACTAGTCCTCCTGCCAAGTCTATAACTAATGTCTAACATCACAGATCATTAAAAAAATACCTGCAAACATTAGTGATGTCAGCACCAGAATAGCCCTCAATCTTCTCGGCTATATCTTCCAGTTGAATATCAGGATCTAATTCGACCTCACGAAGGTTGATCTTCAGAAGCTCGGCTCTTCCTTTTGCTGTTACAAGATTTTGGTGGTGTTGTTAGATGTTTTACTTTACAAATAATTTTGCTGAGAAATGACATATTAACATTCAGGGGGAAAAATGAGGCCAATGCAAAGAAGAGTCAATAACTGTGTATCCATTAGTATTATTACCAATTCACTGCATGACTCATGGAATCATTTAAATTCCTATGTGCCTCTGTAGCAGTAACTAAAAATTGAAAAAAACAAAAAACAAAAATCAAAAACAAAAACAAAAACCACCTGGGTTTTCTTTATAGACTGTGAAGATATCTACTATGAGAACAGAGAATCTGAGATCCTTCACGAAAAATATAAATATCAGTTTTCAGGCACCGGAAACGCTTCTCAAAAAAAAAAAAAAAAAAAAAAAAAACTTAGCCTGGTGTTAGAAAATTAGACTGCATCAAGTGTAACTTCTATGAATTACTTTGTTCACCTGTTAGTATGACATGGATCTCCAGAACTCTTATCAGTAGTTTAAAGAACATTTCCTGAAAATCAGTAATTGGCACAAAAAGCTCATTAATGTATTTTTTACTTGGAGAGCCAGCCCACAGACATGTGCTGTTCCAGTATGATTTAAATGTGAACTGAATAAGTTCAAACATACTCAGAATTTTTAAAATAACCAATCACGCTTGCCATTTCAGTAGTGCTTTTAGTAGCAAATATGCTTAGCACAGCACACTAAGATAAAGCATTACTAGTTTATCTGGCACTCTACTATTTCCTGAGATACAAAACGAAATTTAATTCTCTTCTACTTTTATTTTGAAAAATGCTAAATCTACAGAAAAAGAAAATCAATGAATACCCATTTGCCTTTCACTGAGATTCACCAATTGCTAACATTTTGCCATTATCACTCTAGCTGCCTCCTCATCTCTCCTCCCTCAACTTTTTGAATTGAGCGCTAGCTGTAGGCATCACAACACTTCACCTTAAATTCCTCAACATGTATCTCCTAAGAAAAAAGGTAGACATAACATTTCTCACCCTTATCAGGAGATTTAATACTAGAACATTAGTGTCTAATACACAATTCAAAGCAAAGTCTCCCCATTTGTCCCAAGCCTTTATAACTTTTACAAACCATAACACATTCAGTTACCATGTCTCATTCATCTTCTTTCATCTAAAACAGTTTCCCAGTGTTTACTTTTTGGTTCATTTTGTTTTGTCTTTCATGAAATTGACAATTCTCCCCCCAATGATCTTATACAGCCAACACATTCCAATAAAGATCCTCCTAAAAGGTCTCTCTGTAGAAACTAATGGGCAGATACCAAAATGTCCACAGAAATGGAAAGAACCAAGAACAGCCAAGATGCTCTGGAAGAGCAACAGCAAAGTGGAAAGAATTGCTCTATCAGATTTCAAGACTTACTACAAAGGTATAGGACTCAAAGCAGATTGACGCTCTTGTGGAAAGAGACAGATAGATCAACAGTACAGAACGGGGTGCCCAGCAGCAGACCGAAGCAGAACTATAGACACTTAATTTATGACAAAGCGGTTCAGGGCGCGAGGGGAAGGAGTGTCTTTTCAATTAATGATGCAAGAACAGCTGACTATCCACAGCGAAAAAAAATGAAATCGGGTCCTACATCATACTGTACCCAAAAATCAGTGCCAGATATATTACATCTAAACGCAAAGTTGTAAGTATTTTATAAGATAACATAGAAGAATATCTGAATGACCTCAGGGAAGCATTCTCAAGACATATATTTCAAAAAATCAACTAGGAAATGACTGATAAACTGACCACATTAAAATGAGGAACTTCTATTCACCAAAAAGATCCTGTCAACACAGTGAAAACAGATGTTACAGAGTTTGAGAAGATATCTATAACAAACATAAGCAACCAAAGACTTGTATCAAGAATATTTCAGGAATTCCTAAAAATCAGCAAGAAAAAGACTACCCAAGAGCCAGAGTGCCTGGCTACGCACAGTGGGCAGACCCCAG